TTAAAATATATGTATGTCTCCCATAAACCGCTGTAATCCATCCCTTGAAAATGCTACTTTGAATTTTGAAGTGAACGAACTGAGAATGCCAGACCACCTGGGAAATAGTGAAATACCCAAAACTGAACTATCCCAAAAAATCCAAATTTTGTTGATATATAGGAGAATAGAGAACCTCATTTAAACCCAGCACTGATTTAAAGGAAGTAGCTCTAGATTCCTGAACAATAGGCTCAATAATCACAACTAAACTTAACCTCCATTGTTTAACTAGGGAATTAAGTCTGGAACTGGAGGAATCCAAACCCCTAGTATTCCATATCAGCCAATTCATTTTGGAAGTAAGGAGGTTAAGTCCTTCACAGAGTTTCTAGTAATTCTCTTTTGTAATGCCTCCTGTTTGTGTTGTTTTTCCCTTCCCTCTTTGTTAGATCATTCTGTAATACTCCATCCTGAGAGTCTCCATCTGACTGGCTAACAGATTGAAGAATTGGAACCTCATAAAGTTACATTTGATTCTCTACAATCTGCAGATCTGCATTAACCGCTTGTTCCACTTCACTTGCAGGGAATATTTTCTGCGGTTTAGTTTGATGCTCAGCTTCCGACCTATTTTCAAGTACCTGATGCACTTCTTGAAAAGGATCAGCCTGAAGGTGAGGTTCAGAAGCCTCAATCTGCACTTGAGCTTCAGCATCCACTTCAACTTGAGTATTCTGGTTGTGCTCATTACTTCCATCAGTGCATTCTTGTTCTGCTATTCGGATTTCCATAGGTAGCACTTTGTTTCTAATCTCTTCCCAATTTTCCAGCAGATTGGCTGATGTGGATAAGCAGGCTGGGTCACCATCAGAATGATGAGTCTTCTTGGCTAGTTCATGGTCGTGATTTAAAGCCCGTTTAAGAGCGAAAAGGTAATAATCATCTTTACTTTTCAAAAACAGATTGTTGACCTTTTCAGGAATGGCAATCTCACTGCTATGTGTATCCTGAACAGGATTGGACGGTTCAATTACATGTTCAAGATTTTCTGTAAAAACATTTTCAGTGTCAGATTCATCTAGCTCCAAAACCTGGAATTTGGAGGAAGTTGGGAGATCCAGAGCGTTAGTTGTGGCCTTGATATGCTGAACCACTTTAGCTTTTGCCATGTTCACTGTTGATCCTATTCCCTGCTCCCCACTTGTAATTAATTGCTTCTTTTGTTTGTTGGGCTGCTGTTTAGATTTTACCACCCATTTTTCCTTGGCAACCTCATCCACTTTTTCAACCAAAGAGTTATTCTTGGGGCAGGCAACCCCTGAGTGACCTAAATGAAAGCATTTACCACAATAAAAGGGCCTGTTTTCATAAATTACTTGCTGCACAAATCCTTTAGATCCACACTGGATCCAAATCTTATTTGGCATCTCTCCCGTTAGGTCAAGCTCCACACACACTCTTGCCAAAGAAGGCCTGGTTAGATTAACAGTAGCAGAATCAATCTTTAGAGGCCTTCCAATCATCCCAGCTATATCAAATAAAGCTCTCCTATCTTGAAGATGGATAGGCAGATTTTCAAAAGCCAACCAAATTGGCACAACAGAGGATTCCACATTGGGTTGAAAATCAGGAGTCCATTTGGTTACCCGCATTGCACTGCCGAAAATATCCCATACTTGTCTATTCCAGCATCTAACATAATCTTCTTCTAATTCGAACCGAATTAAAATGTGCTTTTTCTCCAACATCGAAAGTTGAAACTTCCCTCTAAACCCGATCAGTTCAAAAGCTTTCCTAAGAGAGCCCATAGAGGGCCTACCAGAAAAGAAATATCCCACCAAATCTTTTGTATGTTTAGATGAAAGGATGTGAATATCTTCGTCTGGAAAGTTACATGCGATCATGCCTTTATAACGACCAGGAGTCTTTTTCGATAAAGGTTGTTCCCTTACCTCGCCTGAAACTACCGTAGCAAAAGAACAGCCTTCCCACGCCTTAGCAACATGCGTAGGAGGCGGCGCAACCCCCCCCCCCCCCCCCCCCCCCCCCCCCCCGCAGCCGCCGGATCGGTCATATGTTCACAGGAAATTCGCCAGACCAAGAGCACCATAAGATGCACATCCATTAACCTTACTATGCACGCTCTGTAACTTTAATATGCAGACACTTTTACATGTGTTCACTTCTTACAAATTTATATGTTAGAAGTTATTATAAATTATGCATCTTACTAAAGTGCAATATACGGACTTCCAAAATGCACATGTCATAATAATAAAATGCAACATGTGAACTAAAAATGCAAATGTCATAACGATAAGATGCAATCAATAGCTCTTCATCCTTAATATGCATATCACATAACCTTATTATGCACTTTAAGTAAAATATTATCATATGCACACGTTATACTTATACAATGCATATCTCACAACCTTAATATGCAGTTCACACGTATGTTTACTTCTCATATGCACTTGTCATCTTACTAAAATGCAATGATGAACTTATAAAACACAACATCGACATATTTTATCAATATGAGTTTCTAAAATAATTTGTGCAACATTATGAATATATGATGCACATCTCGTAATCTTAATATAAAGTGTTATAAAATGCATACTACTTGTGTTGAAATATTAACTTTTTCATTGGATAATAGGAGCTAAGTTTCAAAAATAGAGGTTTATTAAGAACCGATTGATTCATAGAAATTATTAATTATAAAAAGGTAAATTACTTTTCAATTTATGATTAACTTCAATCATATCATGGGGTTACCTTGTCTACCACTTACCTTATATAATTTGCATATATTTGGATTGTTAGTTGTTTAGTGGGAAGTATAGCACTGTTCGAATCAATTAGTGGGATATCATTGTTTTCCAAATTACATTTGTGACCTTTTAAATGCCTAAAGCTATAAAACGGTGTTATCCGTTTTTTCTCATACGGCTTAGTGCAGCGCGTTTCAATAACATCAGCCGTCTGCATGATTTAATCCAGCGGATGTTGTTGGTTTGTAGGTTAGCACGGGAAGCTTGGTTTGCATGGGATCTCACCCCTATATATATGTGTGTGTGTGTGTGTGTGTGTGTGTATATATATATATATATATATATGTATATATATATGTATATGTATATATATAGATAAGAGATCAAATGCAAACCATGCTTAAAATACTAACCTACAAACTCAATAACATGCAACATTTTGAACTTCAATATGCAGTACAAATAATGTAAAGATGCACACTGTGAATTTCAATATGCAATACAAATAATATGCAACACTTTGAACTTTAATATGCAGTACAAATGATATGCAACACTTTGAACTTCAATATGCAGTACAAATAATGTAAAGATGCACAGTTTGTGATAGTTTGTAGGTTAGCATGGGAAGACTAGTTTGTATGTGATCTCACCCCTATATATATATATATATATATATATATATATATATATATATATATATATATATATATATACAGAAAAGATCAGGTCCCTCCGGAGGGACGGGAGGGACCGTCCGAACTTTACTGTTTGGGGCGGTTCCCGGTGGAATTTTTTGATGAAATTTTTTGAGCATGTTCCTCATCAAGTCTAGTTTGTCCATACCAAATTTCAGCTCAAAATTCGACTGGGAAGGCAGTCAAATAAATTCTTGAAGCTGACTGCACATTCTGCGCATATATAAAGTGCAGTAAGTTTCAAGAATTTATTTGACTGCCTTACCGGTCGAATTTTGAGCTGAAATTTGGTATGAACAAACTAGACTTGATGAGGAACATGCTCAAAAAATTTCATCAAAAAATTCCACCAGGAACCGCCCCAAACAGTAAAGTTCGGACGGTCTCTCCCGTCCCTCCGGAGGGACCTGAGCAGTCCTCTATATATATATATATATATATATATATATATATATATATATATATATATATATATGATAACATGATTAAAGATTTTCTTGTTACACTAGGCGGGGGGATAATAGCATGAAATAAGGAATCATTCTTGTAAATTTAAGAAAGGTAACGCAGAATGTATTGTACTATGACAATATTGTGTATATATGGAAGATGTATTTTCATGTTTACGAACAACACCTTAACTTGTAAAGTGTAACCATCCCCTACCAATCTACCATATTTCAACCACACCGTTCTTGTTAAAAAAATATGGAACATTGTTATGTTCACATATCCAAAATCTAGAGGTCTGACATACGACATAAATAACCTCATGGATTTTATAATAAATGTTATCTTAGCATTATAAACAGAAGATAGAATGACAAAACTAATTATATGTCCATAAATAGGGCCAAGCTTGAATTTAGACAAAAAAGATACCAAATATTAATCAATACACTGAAATACTTTTAATATAAAAAATAGTCCTGACCCTAATTTACTCGTTCTCTCCTTTCCACTCCATTCTTGCGCCATATGTGTCTCTTAGCCACGCCACCGAGGACATTATTGTCATACCACGCCGACAAACAAGTGTGTCCCCTCTTCTCATATCTCTCCTTCTCAATCTGAGCTTCATCCCATTGTCTTGTGAAGGAGGCAATGGCGATCTATGGCAAGTGATTTGGAGGTGATGATGGTGGTGGAAAGAGAAAGCAACACCCTGACGATGGTAATGGCGAGCAATGACTTCTTTGTGGGTGACCATTTCAAAAGTGGAGTATTGTGACCATTTCAAAGACATTACCACAAATAGCATCTAGTTTGTTTTTAGCAATATACTTTTCTAACATGATGCATATTGATGACGAAAAGCATTTTTATACTTTTATTGTATATACATTAGCTCTACTATATTTTGAAACATGAAATTGATAAGTCATAGCTTATTTTAGATCCTTAGTTATCATGTAAAATGTATGGGAGAAAGCCTACAATGGACATTATATTATTTGTGAAAGGTTAATGTACCTATAAGTTAATTGCCGTAAGATGAACCGAGAACCTAATGATAAGAAGAAAAGAATATATTGTACAAGATAGATTTCACGCAAGGTGGGGTGGAAGAGATGATGAATTGATGAATTACTTTTATAATAGACATGCAAAACATCTAATCAAATATTTATAATTGGTATAAATTAAAAATGTAGAGAATATATTTAATTTAACATTCAGTTGAAGAACATCTCAGCGGCCCCGCGTCCATTGTGAGTGCGGGGACTCTAGACCCATCAGCCACAGGAAATGATTGAGATCTCGTGTAGTATGGCGTACAACTTCCATATCCAGAAGGTACAAAATATGCCCCATTGAGAAATTTATCCTTAGATGATCTCCACTTCCAATGTGCCCATCCTTTCTTTACTTCTCTTTTTGTTACCTAATAATTCATAAATCAAATCTGATTTTGTATTCATTAACACTTATGATGTGTATTAATCTGATAACATTAAGACTCAGGTATTCAAGAAATGAACAAATTATTTCATAATCATATGCATCAAATGAGAATACAACATGGCTTATCTGATTATTTCATTAACGGTTATGATGTGTATTAATCTGATAACATTAAGACTTAGGCACTTAGGCAGTAAACATCCTTCTTATTTGTAACTATCTGCACTACACACAAGTGACAAAACTAACAAGAGTTGAGTCATAGTTTGTTTGCAACCTTGTATTTATACCTATATATCTAATTTCATATTTTGATTTGTGACTGAGTGTATTATTCTTTTGTTCCTATTTGATGGTGAGTATTTATCCCAATAGTTCAACAAAACTAACTGTGTTTAATTGTTCATATAGAAAAAACAAGATTTAAAATAACTACACATTAATATTATGCTTCCTCCGTCCCGCTATGATTGTCCCACTACAAAATAACTATAATGTTATACTAATATTACAAAAAATTGGCACCACTACAATTTTAGACCTAGTGTAACACTTTTTAGAAGTAAAAATGTTACATTAGGGACTATAAAGTGTTACAATAGGGCAAATGCAACACGAACAAATGTAATGGTTAAAAAATGTTACACTTTCTATAATGTAACACTTTTCAGTGATATTGTAACACTTTTGGGTGATACATTAAGGGTTGAAATGTAGTAGTATGGGGGGCAATTTTGGTGGGTGCCGTTCCGGGTGACCTATTTAACTTGCTAAAAAATGGTCCTGGCTCTCATAATAAGGTTTTCTTATTGTATGATAGAATAATCTTATATACATACTTCATTCTTAAATAAATGAAACAATCAACTTTTCACATTTGTCGATGCACAACTTTGACCAGTAATATACATAAGTCTTTATTAGTAAAAAATAAAAATAAAAAATCAAAATTTGAAAATTTACAATGAGACAGATTTAAAAAAAAAACAAAAAAAATATAATAATGCATTAATAAATAAAATGTAGTCAAATCGGAACATGTGAATAGTGTAAAATTCAACATGTTGCATTTATTTAAGAATGGGTGCAGTATAAGAATGTTGAGATTATTTTTCTTATCTTCCATGGACGAGCTTAGGCTTCTCGACAATAACACCTTTGCTACCAGAGGAGGATTTCTTTCGGCTGTTTGTTTTTTTGCTGGAACAACAACAAGTTTAGTCGGATCGGATGGAAGGTTTGGAGGTAGAGTGTGAGCGACTAACAATGGAAGAAGAATAACAAGGGGTCATTTTAGAACCTTCCTCTACAACGATACCGAATGATGTGGGTCTCTCTCTTGTTGGTATTATTGCGTCGGAAAGGTTGGCATCGATTGATACCATGCCAACAATATGGTAACCCATTAGGAGTGTTACTACTACCTTTTCGGTTCACATCGATTTTCTGTTTAAGTTTCATCACGAAGCTGATATGAATAGAACTCTAATGGGTGGTCCTTGGATTTTGACCAAAATTTGGTTGGGTTGTGCAGATTGGAGTAGAGAGATATTTCATTATAAGTTTCACAAAACACGGTTGAATTTTTTATTCACATCCATATTTACGTGTTGAGCATTTTACCTGGAAACTGCAAAAAGAATTCATTTGTTTGGATATATGAGTATAATTATGGGACTGCTTGGAAAGCTTTTATGCATATCATGGTAGCTATGGGTATTGGTAAACCACTAAAACGCATATTAAAGTTGAAAAGTACATGAGATGACTGGGTTTGGGTGGAATTCCAAAGTGAAAAGTTGCCCAGGGTTTACTTTGTGTGTGGTGTATTTAGCCATGTAGAGAAAATTGTCCTATTGCATTAGAGGGAAAATCATATGGTGTGGAGCCATCGTATGGATCTTGTCTTAGAGCTTCGGGGGGGGGGGGGGGGGGGAGCAACAAGTTGGAAACGGGAAATTGGCTAGTCCTTGGCTCCTTGGTAGTGATAGAAAGGGAGGAGTGCAAAGTAGAGGAAGCATGGATGTGGGCACCGGTTTTTCATGAAAGTTTAACATCAATGAGAACCATATGGTCATATGGTTGATGCATCACTCGGTGGCACTGATTGCAAATTATGGGAGAGACAAATATCAATCAAACCAAAAGAACATAATACTGGAAGATGAGGAGGAAATCAGACATATGGAGAGCATTGAGGTAGAAGTTTACAAGATAAAAAAAGGAGTGGAGGCGGTTTGGAGGCTCAAATCGCCAAGACTTATAAGGAAGCAAGAGCTGGATTACCAGGAGCTGGGAAGCATGCTTGCTTATTGCGATGGACTTCTCGTTTTTATTGGGTACTAATTTAGTTTTAATTCGTACTTTTTAATTTTTCGAGTTAATTTATTTTATGGAACTTGGGAGTGTGTGAGGGTGTCTTTTTAGTCTGGTCAACATTTTATCTTCGTAGAAGCGTCAAGGCTTTCACAGTCAAAATTATCTTCAAAACTCTCGCATGGTTAGTGAAACGACTAGCAAAATATGCATGGGACGTCCATTTCTTTGTTTGATAAGGGAGTGAAAGAACCTTTGGGTTTGGATTCAAGTGGGAAAAAGGGTAGTCGCAGAGAGTCTGATGTAGGGACTATGATCATTTCAATATTAATATAGGCATTTATCATAAAAAAGAATGTTGATATTAATTGGAAAAAAGTGATTGTAGGAAGAGTTCTCACTAAAATCTTCCCACGAAGATCTCTACGAGAATAGTTCTTATAGAACCCTCCATACATAACATGTTTTCGGCTTCTCACAAAAAAACTTTTATTGGAAAAAGTGAAAGGTTGAAATTAAAATTCTTTATAAAATGATTCCCTATGTAGAGAAGTGCTCAGGTACATCACCTCTCTATCCGAACGCCATCCGAATATCGCCGTTTGGGGAGGTTCCTGGTGGAATGTTTTGATGAATTTTTTTGATCACGTTCCTCATCAAGTCTAGTTTATCCACAAAAAATGCAGCTCAAAATTCGATCTGGAAGGTTGTCAAATATTTTTTGTGAAGTTGACTGCGCAAAACTATACATAGAAAACGCAGTCAACTTCAAAAAATTATTTGATAGCCTTCCCGATCTAATTTTGAGCTAAATTTTTATTGGATAAACTAGACTTGATGAGGAACATGCTCAAAAAAATTCATCAAAAAATTCCATCAGGAACCGCCTCAAACGACGATGTTCGGACATGGAGGTGCTGGACCTGAGCACTTCTCTCCCTATGTATATATTCAAACAAAGGTACTTACTTGCTTAGAATCAGATTTGTTAGGAGCCATAAAGTAGTTGCCTTCACTAAAAATGATTGGGTTTGCACTTCCACCAATGGCATACATCAACCACCCACTGTATCTATTATTAGCAACATGAGCATAGCCTAATCTCACCCTGCATCAACAAATAATATGTGAGCATACTTATAAAGTCAATGGTTCATTCCTATATAAAATGAAAATTCCTACTATGATTTTTAATCAAAATTCATTAACTTTGCTTGTTTATCGATGCATTTTTTGGATTTTGAATGTGAGAATACTCCTAAAGCATTACAATAGTTTCTTATAGATTTTTAAGCGATGTGTAATAAAGTATCGACATGTATTTTCTCAAAATAGGAAAATATAAACTATAAGTTATTTTTCCACATTTAATTTTAGTGTTTGCAGTATAATGGTCCGTCAACTGTGGCTATTTGAGAGCACGTGCGGCACTAATGACAGCACTCCTCAGTGTAACATTTGATGGCTATCAAGACCTTACTGGTAAGTAATGTTCTAAAAGGTTGTGTATAGTTTAAGTAAATCGACAATCAGTTGAGCTGAACCGCTTCCTCGAAATTCATAAAACTGATTTATATAGACAATAATATGTTGTATTGAAAATTTACAAGACTTATTTTGTTAGATCATATTGTAAAATAGGTAAGGTAGGTATATACATGATCAGAGAATCAACTTTAGATTATATTGAAGAAAAACTTCTAAAAAATTGACATATTTAGTGACTGTCATCTGCAGTGACATGTCATTCTAAAATATACTAGAGTGACTAGTACACAGTGAGTAGTCATATTTTTGTCCAAAAACACACTCAATCATACTTTTATCCGGGGAAACTCTAGTAGTAATATACATGTCATTTTTCGAACATTTATCTTTTTCATCGTAGATTTGTTATAATTAAAAATGAAATTGCAGCCAAAATCCACACACAATCACCATTATTGACTCTGAACTTGCAAATCTTGTCGGTGACCTCTCCGCAATCACTAGTAGTGACAAAACACCCCTTAAATATGTTAATGATCATCCTTGTTCATCAGTTACTACCTTTGCATCCCAAAAATGGTTAGTGGCCCCGTCTTCTAAAGTTTTCACTTAATTAGTTGCTAGCCACACAATCCAAAAGAAATCATTGACTCCACCTCGATCAAGTTTAGCGAAATCGTATTGTTAGTTACCATGTGGTAACTGAATGTCTAGTAATTATATTTAGGTAAATTTAATGACATTTATGATAATTATTATCTCCTTTATAATTAGTCACTTTGGTGTTCATATAAAAAGAAGCCGTACTTTTGTTAAAACAAACTCCTTAATAATATACCCCTTTTGTTCACTAGGGTGTCTTATGTCATTTAAAATATTCATTTGCACCTTAACAAAAAATTAGGGGCTATTTTATATACAATATTTTAACGGTGTATTTATACCTTTTTCAAACTTAACGTATGGGCAATGTGAATATGTATGTATGTATGCATGATTAGTCTAATTCTTGTATTAAATGAAAGGTCATTAGGTTTGAATGTACCTCGGCATTCTTTCAACTAAACCAGGGCCAAAATGATTGAAGGCCACTGTAACTTTCATAGATTTGTCTTCTATGTTATCATCATTGTGCCCAAATAGCATCACCTGTCAGTCCAGCCATCCTAGACAGTCAGTCATTTACTACATAACTCAGCAATTCATCAATTAAGAGATTAAATTATAATCTCAGTTATTTATTTTTTTTGGAAGAAATAGACTTAAATTGATAACACATCATTCAGATAATGGGTAAAAAGACAAACAGACCCCTGGCAACCGTCGACACTCGAACCAAACTCAGAGTTTATCACCTCTAAAGAAGCAATGTAACTCGTTGATCCATTATTGGGCGCAAATGAGCCAAAGACGGTTAACACAAACCTTTCATCACCCACATCCGAATCCACATTCTTACAATGAAATAAAATGCACAACCGAAAATAAACCGTAAACTTTAGACAATTAAAAAATAGAAAAGCGGAAAAGTAAAACTTTTGCCCCTTCGCCCAAATATACTCCAGTGGCGGTTCAGGAGGGGGACGGGCCAACAATACTATAACTTCTTCCTCACTCTGCCTCTTATTCATCATTTTCTCTGTCAAGCCTTCACTTTTGCCACCAATCATAGATGACCTTGAATCCAGACCTGTTCCAGCTTTTAACCCCAAGCTTCGCCCATGACCTTCACTCGATGATGTCATCCTCTCATTATTGTTGTCTTTGTTTCTTGTTCACACCAAGAAAATCGTCGCAGGGGGGAATCCCAAATCGAAGAGCCACCCAATCTATTAGATCGGCGTAAAAACTAAAACCCTAAATAGAGGGACAAGCGGCCGCTTGAATGGAAAATTAGTAAATCGTAAAGTTTGAATACAGAAGTACTTCGCCGACTAGTGCGGCTGGACTTTGCCGAAGGGACTTCGAACTAGCTAGGTGCCGAAGGGAACGAAGCTTTGCAGGAGGCGCAGCTCCCCGAAACCCTCATACCCAGGATGGCCATATCTGATAGGCAATTGATCATTCATTTTTTGAAATATATTCTCCGTTATTAAAAAGTCTAAAGTTAATAATTAATACTATGTCCCTAAAAAACCAGTTTTACTTTTGAGGTCAACCTTGTTAATGTTTGATCATAATCATGAGCTTATAAAATGTATACTGAATTAATTTTTCAATATATATTGTATGTCATTTAAGTTAATCATGCATACTTTCATGTTATACATTTATATCTGTACATTTTGGTTAGTGCCCTTTTTTGTGTTAATATAAAGAATGGTACATTACTTTTAACTTAAAAATTAGAAAGTAGTGTCTCTCTTTTAATCTCCCTTAACACTACACTTATTATTACTTTTTCCCTTGATAAAAAGTAAGACTAACATAAATACACAAGTGCGTACCCATTTCATAATCCATTAGCATAGGAGGTTAAAATATATATTGTATTTAAAAGGTATACTTATTCTAATACTATTTTAAATATTACTACCTTTGTTCTCTTTGAATTACAATATTGGACTTTTGCACTATTCACATATTCTACTTTAACTATATTTTATTTATTAATGTATTACAAATTAAAATTTTAAAAATATTCTTGAATTCTTCTCATTTTTTATTTTCCAAATATGTTTTTTTTAATTTTTTACTAATAAAGAATGAAAGATATTAATGGTCAAACTTGTGCGTTGGCAAACGTGAAAAGTGGATTGTTGCAATTAAAAAAGAATGGAGAAAGTATATTATAAGTATGACGTCTTCCCAAAGTACACTACGATGGACAAAATTATTTAGCGGAACACAATATCCAAGTGATCATTTGCTGAAACACTTCAAAAGTTGCTGAAACACATAATTATGTATACATATACATTAATAGATCAAATGAATAAGAAATAAGTGTTTAGAATGTGTACTCATAAATATGATAAAATAAAACTTTGATGTACAATTTTTCTTTATATAAATGGTTAGTATTATTCAGGATATTAAATTTCTCACGTGCAAAATAGCTTAATCGAATTCTAAAATTGAGTTTTGTTTGCTACACTTGTATACCCCAAGTACAGAGCATTGACTATTATTCAAAATTAACACCACAAATCTAAAATTGTTAGCAAATGTGTTGTGACATACATGATACATCAAATCAAATATTTTCTATCTCTTTATTTATATCAGGATAAAAATCTTTTAGGGTGGTCACCTGTCCATCCTGACCCAAGCTTCATCCCTACATCCTCATCGATAATACTTTCTTAGGTGTAACATTTTATCTAATATAATTATTTGTTCAACATTGTGTCACACCCACTTAGACCCTATTTTTACTACTCTTAGCGCAACTCTTGGGTTAAGCGCAATATGACTTGCAAACAATGTGAGACGAATAAACTGCATTAGAAAATACTTGTGTTATCAGCTTGACCGAGAGGAAGTCAAGGTTAATAAAGTTTGACCTCAAAAGTCAAATGAGGAAGTAAATAACACAAATGAGGTAATATCTTACTTTGTCATGTTGAGTAAAATAATTGTTAGAAATGGTGATATTTGTGGAACCATGGATGACATCAATGAGACCGTCCGCGGCGCGGGCAAGGAAGCAATGGTCAATCCACACGTTAGATGAACCGAATATAGTAATTGCGTCCCCGTCGGAGCCGCCTCGACGGCCCGCGTGTGTCGGGCTATCTCTCACTTCTTGTCCGGATTTTCCCTGTTTACAATCTTGAATGATAATTCCATGTACAATAATATTGGTAACTCCTTGGATAGTAATGCACGGCCCATTGGAAATTTCCACTTTTGCCCCTCTCCCATCTATAGTCTTGTAGCTGTTAATGATAAGCTCATTCTTGAGAGTAATAACCATATTTTTGGCAAAAGTTATCCAAAGTGGCTTAGATTGTATGACACCATACCTAAGTGTGCCTGGTTTCGGGTTCCTCGGGTTATCGGATGAATGAGTGACGACATAGGTTGCGCCATTTTTCCCGCCCGTGGCGTATTTCCCGAAGCCGACGGCGCAATCCGCTAATGCACGACGGTTGGACGCCCAACTCGACTTGCTCCTCCGCCAACAAGAGTCTATCACATTCATGTTGGTGGTGGTTGATGCATTGTTATTGTTTTTATTAGAGGTTGAAATGACCTTAGTAGTGAGAAAAAGATGCATGATCATAATAATAATAACAAGGGCTCCGACGACACTATGGGTCGCCATTGATAATTAAAAGATAAGTAGATTGGTTTTAGATACAAAAGGAAATGCATTTCATTTATTATTGTTAAATTAAATTAATACATATTTAAAAAGGAATGACAAGATGGTGGCAACGATGCTTATGGTTTGGGAGTGACTCTTTCTATTTATGGTTTATATGATATATTTGGGCTAACATTTTGGGGCACATACATGTACGGGACAACATTATGTTTCACATGTACGAGTATTTAATTTGATGAATGGTTTTTTGTTGTTTTATTTAGATTACTTTTCCAATGTTATTGTCGTCAAAGAAAGCACTTAATTTAGAGAGTATTAGTTTGTTCATCCTCCTCTATGAGAGTCAATGTAACCCTCCTTCCAGCGTCCAATAATTGTCTACCATAAGGAAAATAATTATATTATTTCTTTGCATTGTCAGAACTATTTTATATTTACTCTCATTTCACAAAATATATATCGAGCCAAACAATTTTTATGATCTTTCGTATGACACCAATATTGGATATATAAAACAAAAAATATCATAAAAAATAATGGTAAACAACTAATAAAAAATACCCCAAAATTTTACACATGTTAGAAGTCATATTAAAGATCATAAAAAATCTTTCAAGAAAATGATCATAAAAAATAAAAAATGATAGAGTAAAAATAAAAAAGTGAAAACAATTACAAAAAATAAGAATAATTGCACGTCCAGGGGCGGAGCCAGGATATGACCATAAATACGGAGTAACATATGAAACATAAAATCCAAAAATGTAATAAACATTAAATAATGTAGGTACTACGAAGTAACATTTATTTAAAAGATTCAAAAATACATAACTAAACATAGGTGAATTAAGTTTTAGAGTGGTTGCTCTTGCATGTCAAGAAAATAATCTACTCCCTCTATTCCATTTGACTTTATCAACTTTTTGTCTTTTATTATCCTGAAAAAAGGGAAAAGGGGCAAATAAGCCCTCGAACGAACAAAAAAAGTGCAAATCACCCATTATATATGAGGTTCTATCCGGCTGTCGCAATTTGAGGCGGTTCCCAGCTAAATTTTTTGATGAGTTTTTTTTTAGCATCTTCTTCATTAAGTCTAGTTTACCCATACCAAATTTCAGCTAAAAATAAACCAGGAAGGCAGTTAAATGATTTACTAAAATATACTGCGCTGTTTAACTGCACAGTTATCTTCAAAAATTCATTTTACTGCCTTCTCGATTGAATTTTTATCTGAAATTTGCTATGGGTAAACTAGACTTAATGAAGAAGATGCTCAAAAAATTGCATCAAAACATTCCACCGGGTACCTCCCCAAATGACGACGGTCAGACAGAGCATCCTAAATAAGGGTGATATGCACTTTTTTGATTAGTTCGAGAGCTTATTTGCCACCTTTCCCTAAAAACATTATTAAGGCAATTATTCTCGTACCAGACAAGAGCCGTCCGATCCCATATTAGATGGAAATGTTCCATATTTCAATCTTCATCTGACGACTTGAGGTGCTCATTTTGTTCAATTGTTACTGATCTTTGCTATCGTAAGTCACAAAGATGTCTCCTGGGCAAACAGCACCACAACAACACCACAAGTATCTCAAACATGTTTTTTTATTAAATCTTGGACTAGGTCACTAGGCTTTGAATTAAATAATTTCAATAGAGCTTAGGCCCAACATGAACCGCTGGATGGTTGACGCTTGATACGGTCGATACTCCATTGTTCATAATCCATATATACAGTAGTTAAAATCAAAATGTTGGGGGAGGGGGGCAAAAATTTAAAACTAAAACTACTAATTAAAAAAAAAACTTTTGGAGGGGCCATGCCCCCCTTGGGCTTGTTGTACCTCCGCCCCTGTGCACGTCATGTGATAACTGGCAAGTAACTATTAGGTTGAGGAGAGGTTATGTTCACTCTCATGGGAGGTGGGTGAATAAAATATCAATTTAGCTTCTAGGGTTTCATATATATTGGTGTGTTTCGACTGACCTCATGTTTAGAATTGCAATATTAATGAATGATGATTTTGGCGCAAATTGTACCGTATGACCGGCATACCATGCGCATGGACGGCATGGTATGCCTGTTCAAATACGGTACCATTTTTGGTAACAAACGTCATTTAGTTCCACACACTTGCACTTCCCCACCCAGGTTTCTTTCATTCTTCTTCATTTTTTTACTTTTATTTGTTTCTTTATCAAAAACTCTCTCCCTCCGATCACAGGCATGCACCCCCCACCCTCGTTTCTTTTTTTCTTTTTCGTTGTTTACTTGTAATGTTTTAATTATCAAAAGCTATCATGTAAACCCAAATGATTTTCTTAATATACAAACACTGGAATGTATGTATTACAATTTTGTGATCAAAGGGATTTGGACCGCTAAAGTAAGAGAATAGGAAGACATGATATACATTTGATAGACTACATGCTTTAATAAACTATGGCTATTTTTATTACAATTTTCTTTAGCAGCTTAGTATGATCTCTATGGGAACTTTCCGAAATAAGAGTAAGAACATTTGAAAATTCAAAAATAGGATTGTCATGTTTTTATTCTCTAAATAAGAAAATACTGCCAACATATGACAGTAATTACTCATATTTAAGGAATATAATTTTCTTCTCCTATTTATCTGGTAAGCAAAAGGACGACTCTTGGAGTTTTTTTACAAACTATCGATGAGATCTCAATGATTCTGCTATATCGGGTCGCTTTTCGATCCCAAACATTAATGAGATGTTAGACAAACTAATTTGTGGAGACTTTTACTTCTCCAATTTGTGGAGACTTTATACCCACCTTATGGGAATAAGATGGGTATAAAAAAACCTCTACAAATATGAGAATAAGGTGGGTATAAAAGTGGGTGAAATGGTGGAAGCCCGTGGTAAAAATGAACGCCCATGAAACACCAGCGCCAGTCATAGGAAAGATAGAGAAAGAGGAGAGCGACGGTTCACATCAGTCCTCAGCATCCAAGATGGCCGCTTCCGCCATAGACGGCATGGCATCGACGGCGCTGCGATCGGTTCTGCAGCGGGTGCAGCTGGCCGCCGAACGCTGCAGCCGTGGATCGGATCGGATTCGGGTCGTAGCTGTAAGCAAGACGAAACCAGTCTCTCTTATTCGTCAAGTTTACGACATTGGACACCGCTGTTTTGGCGAGAACTATGTCCAAGAGTTCGTAGAGAAAGCTCCCCAGGTCTTTTTTCTTGGAACTTTGTGAAATTTTCTCCAGCCGTTTATCTGTGATTCGTTCACTGAATTTTCTGTAATGATGCGCGTGATAGGAGTCGTGTGTTGATTTTATGATGTGGCTGTTGTAAATTGCAGCTTCCGGAGGATATAGAGTGGCATTTCATTGGGAATTTGCAGAGCAATAAAGTTAAGATGCTTCTGAGTATGTTTGCATACCCAATCAACGAGCTAATTAATTTCTTTTGCTAATGAATTGGAAGAGGGTTTGTAGCATAATATATTTTGATTCAAGTCAATACTTTTTTTTCTTTCTCGAGTTTTTTCTTTCAAACAGTGTAACATGCTAACAGCCTCATCATATGTAGCTCAAAGCTGCTTTTTATTTCCTATAAATTAGGATGCCTTGTATTAGTGCAGATTTATCATACTCCCTTTCCCATGAATAGATAAATTTCAGAATTTCAGTATTGCAAGATTTGGGGAAGCTCAAAGCTTCCACTATAGTATAGTACTATATAGTTGTCCATACATAAATACTGATATAATTCTGCAATGGGGGTTTAGTTTGTGATTTTTAGCCATGGCTAAGTGGTGTGGGGACGTAGGGAAATAGACAGGCCCTCACATATATAGGGGTTCTTGTCTTCTTGAAAAAGCAATTAAGCTAGGTGTGGATTAATTCTCTATGAAAGGTTCAGTGAACGCTGTGGACATGAGAGAGCTACGTCACTCATTATCTTGTTTTGCAAGGTGAAACTGTTGTTGGCCTAGCTTGTAGGGTGAAATGAATAGTTGGCATGACTTTTTAATATCTCCTTTTGGGAAGGGGCAAACACAGAAGTATATTGGTTATTACTCTTTATGGTGCTTCTTATGCATGTGCATATTTTTATATACTTTCAGCTGGTGTGCCCAATCTCGCAATGGTGGAGACAGTTGATGATGAGAAGGTAAAACACATCTGTGTTATTCCTTTTTCCACACGAACAGGAAAAATGAGATTACACTACATTTTTATGAATCAAATATGCAGAAATTTATCACCAAATACCAATAGAACAACCACTTTGTTTACTTGTTTTATTCTCCAAAAGGTCAAGACGTCAAGTCATGGAGAAGTAAAATACTATATTTGTCAAAAATAATATCATAAAATAGTTACTAGCATATAGCATGAGTATTGTATACAGAGCAGAAAGAGTAACTGCCCCTAACTAATTAGCAATTCCACACATTCAGGTTGAACATTGGTAGCTCTATAATTTTAGGTTCAGTTATTCATCCTCTAGAAGAAAAAGATCTATGCATCTTCATGCTTATTGCTGGACATTTGTAACCAAAATCCGTTGTCTCGAAATATCCATGTCATTTTTTTTTGTTTCACGAGTGAAATTCAATCTTACTTGCATTTCATCTGAATAGGAAAGAATGACTTTTAAGTGTGGCCTAGAAAACTAAGTGTATACATAGCCATTAATTGCTAACATAGCCTGGTCTGAACTCTGAAGTATCCAACCACCCATTCACTGAATCAGCCCGCTTTATTACTTTGCAATGTGTAGATTGCGAATCAGCTTAATCGAGTGGTTGAAAATATTGGAAGGAAACCTTTGAAGGTCTTTGTTCAAGTGAATACAAGCGGAGAAGAAAGTGAGTAAACAAGTTCGAGTAGGTCTCTTACTTATTAGTTGTTTCTTTATAAAATAAATAATCTTCTAACAGGAGAAAAGGAAAGATAAGTTTCTACTCTGTAATATTTTTGCAGGTAAATATGGCGTTGAACCAGCTAGGTGTGTGAGCCTTGTCCAACACGTTACTTCAA